TTACAGTGAAACCCTTTTGTACTAGTGGGAATGAGGAGAGCAAATGGGGAGGGTGAAAGAGACCCTTTATAGTTGAAGTACCATACACACACACACACACACACACACACATATGTATGTATGTAAGAAAATAGAGCAGTTGAAATTGTCTTGAGAGAAGAAAGAAAAAAAGAGGGGGGAGGTGTTTGATCAGGTGAATTTCAATAATTGCACTTGGGGTTTAAAATCAGAGCCTTGCCCTTAACAGACAGGCAGTCTATACTGGAGCCACACTCTAGCCCTGGAGTTTTGTATACTGGCAAAGGTTATCTTTGTGTAGATGCTCTTTTGATTCTGCTTATTGTTTCCTTTGCTATACAGAAGCTATTTAATTTGATGTGATCTCACTTTTAAAATCTAGTTATTATTTGAGCAAGAGGGATTCTATTCAGAAAAGCCTTACCCCATGATTTATTCTAGTAGTTTTAAATTTTCTGGCCTAACAAGATTTTTTTTTTTTTTTTTGGGTCTGGTCGTGGGGCCTGAACTCTGGGCCTGGGCGCTGTCCCTCAGCTATTCAGCTCAAGGCTAGCGCTCTACCACTTGAGCCACAGCACCACTTCCGGCTTTTTTTCTTTTTTGCTTATGTGGTGCTGAGGAATCGAACCCAGGGCCTCATGCATGCAAGGCAAGTGCTCTACCACTGAGCCACCTTCCCAGACCCAATATATATTTTTTAACCTCTTGTTTCCATTTAACATTAAGATCTTGATCCATTTGGTATTGACTTTTAACTTTTTTTTGTCTTTTCTTTTTTGGTCCTGGGGATTGAACCCAGGATGTTGCACTTGCTAGGCAAGTGCTTTGCCACTGAGTTACATCCCAGCCTAGATAATTGACTTTGTCTAGCTTTAGTCTTCAACATGTGGGTATCCAGTTGGTTACTTGTTTTTTGTTAGTCATAGGGCTTGAACTCTGGGCCTGGGTGCTGTCCCTGAGCTCTTCAGCTCAAGGCAATTGCTCTACCACTTGAGCCATAGCACTACTTTTGGTTTTCTGGTGGTTAATTGGAGATAAGAGTCTCATGGATGTTCCTGCCTGGGCTGGCTTTGAGCCATGATCCTCAGATCTCAGCCTTCTGAGTAGCTAGGATTACAGGCATGAGCTACCAATGGTTACTATTTTAAACACCATTTGCTGAAAAGAGACTATCTTCTCTGCAAATTGGCTTTTGATGCCTTTATAAAAACTCAGATGTCTCTAGTTCTTTGTGCTTATTTCTGGAGTTTGAATTCTGTTCCATTACATACATTGTCAAGGTCTTTCATGCTTCTAAGTGGATTTTAAGATTGAGTTTTGTATTTCTGTGAAGAAAGACATTGGGATTTTTATAGGATTGCATTTTGTAGATTGCTTTTGATAATATATTCATTTTCACTGTATTAATTCTAATGATCTACCAGTGTCTCACCCCTGTAATCCTAGCTATTCAGGAAGCTGAGATCTGAGAATCACAGTTCAAAGCCAGCCCATGCAAGAAAGTTTCTTATCTCCACCTAACTACCAAAAAAGCCAAAAGTGGAGCTATGGCTCAAGTGGTATAGTACTAACTTCGACAGCCCAGACCCTGAGTTCAAGTCCCAGAACTGGCACAAAATAAATAAATCTAATGATCTATGAAATGGAAGGAGTCTTCTTTAATTTTTTTCTTCAATGTTTTATAGTTTGAGGTCTTCGATATCCTTAGGATTATTCCTAGGTATTTTTCATTTAGACTATTGTGAATAATTTTCCTAATTTTATTCTCAGCCTGTTCATTGTTAGTATATAGAAAAACTATTATTTTAAGGTGTAGATTTTGTATCCTCTACTTTGTCAAAAGTGTTTATCAAACTTGAGTTTTCTGGTATAGTGTTCATGGACCTTTAGGATTGTATCATCTGCAAATGCTGATAATTTGACTTCTTCCTTTATATTTGTATCTCCTTTATTTCTCTTGAATTCTTGATTTGGCTAAGAATTCTAACTATACTGAGTAAGAGTGAGTAAAGTGAAAACTTTTTGTTGAAATGGCTTCAGTTTTTGTTGAAATGGCTTGTTTTTCCTCATTTAGGATGATGTTGATGAAAGATTTGTCATACAAACCCTTGTACTAAGCTGAGGTAGTTTTCCTCTATTCCTAGTTTATCAATACTTTTATCAAATGAAAAGTTGTTGAATTTTATCAAAGGCTTTTTTTGGATCTATTGAGATTATTCTTTTAATTGGTTTGTGTATGTTGAACTATTCTTTCATCTCTGGATTGAAACCAACTTGATCATGGTTATGCTGTTTTAAATACATTCTTGAATTCAGTTTTGAGGGTTTTTTTGTTTGTTTTGATTTTGTTTTCTGTGTTTTGTTGTTGTTGTTACCAGTTCTGGAACTTGAACTAGGGCCTGAACACTGTTCCTGAGCTTTTTTGCTCAAGGCTAGTGCTCTATTTGTTTAGCCACAGCTTCACTTCTGGCTCTTTTGGGGGATTACTTGGAGATTAAGTGTCTTGCAGACTTTCCTGTCTGAGCTGGCTCTGAACCTTGATCCTCAGATCTTAGCCTTCTGGGTAACTAGGATTACAGGCATGAGCCACCTGCACCCAGCATTTTGTAAGTATTTATTTATTTAGTCCTGGAGCTTGAACTCAGGGCCTGGGCATTGTCCCTGAGCCTCTTTGTGCTCAAGGCTAGCACTCTACCACTGAGTCACAGAATAGTTTTTATTGGATATAAAAGTATCATGGACTTTCCTGCTCATCTGGCTTTGAACCTCGATTCTCAGATCTCAGCCTCCTGGGAAGCTAGGATTACAGGTATGAGCCACTGGTGCCTGGCTAGTTTAAAAATATTTTATTGAGAATTATGTGTTCATCAGGGAAATTAGTCTATAATTTTTTCATTCTGTCCTTAATCTGGTTTCAGTATCAGGGTACCTTACTTCATAGAATGAGTTTTGTTGTAGCCGTTCCTTTTCGATTTCATGAAATAGCTTGAGGAACATTAGTGTTTGTATTTCTTTAAAGATCCCATAGAAGTCAGGGAATCTGTCTGGTCCTGGACTTTTTTTGTACTTAGGTTTGAATTGGGTCCTTGTGTTAACTGTTAAGAAAGCACTCTTGCTGGGCACCGGTGGCTCATACCTGTAATCCTAGTTACTCAGGAGGCTGAGATCTGAGGGTTGTGGTTCAAAGCCAGCCCTGGCAGGAAAGTCCGTGAGACTCTTATCTCCAGTAGAACCACTAGAAAACTGGAGGTCGTGCAGTGGCTCAAGCAGTAGAGCACTCGCCTTGAGCTGAAGAGCTCAGGGACAGCACCCAAACTCAGAGTTCAAGCCCCAAGACCGATAAAAAAAGAAAAAGAAAGAAAGAAAGGAAAGAAGGAAAGAAAGCACTCTTTACTGCAGAGCCATACTTTTTCCCCTGATTTTTGCTGATTATTTTTGAGATAGGATCTCATTCTCTGATCAGAGAATGGGGGTGATTTGCCTATGTAAGACCTGTGTGTAGCTCTTCATGTGTGTACATCTGTGTCTATATACATATATATTAAGATTTTAAACTTTACCTATGGTAAAATTGATGTCTTTCTTGATACAGTTAAGCTTGAGACCAAAAGTCCTAATGTCAAAAGAAAAAAAAAACTGATAAATTGGACTTTAATTGTGTTGGGCTGGGAAGGTGACTCAGTGGTAGAGTGCTTGCCTTGCATGCATAAGGCCCTGGGTTCGATTCCTCAGTGCCACATAAGCAGAAAAAACCAGAGTGGTTCTGTGGGTCAAGTGGTAGAGCACTAGCCTTGAGCTGAAGAGCTGAGGGACAGCGCCCAGGCTCAGAGTTCAAGATCCACGACCAACCAAAAATAAAATTATGTTGCAAAATACATTAAGACCACCAGTTGATGTGAGTAGACTTAAACCTGAAGTATGTGGAAGTAATGTCTGAGAGGAGATGAGCTCTCATAGGAGAAGAGGATTGATTTTGGTCTTGAAAATAGTATTCTGGGACTGGTACAGTGGCTCAACTGGTAGAAAGCACTTAGCAAGCATCAGGCCCTAAGTTCAAATTCTAATACCTCCTCCCCTTCCCCTCAAAAAACGAATTTGGCTAATATTCAGAGTGAAAAGATGGAGGCCATGCATGTTTGGTTTCAGAACCCAGGCCAGGCTTTCAGTAGCTTTATTAGGTTGATCAGTTAATAACATGGGATATGAAAAAATAAAACATCTGTAGGTCACATATCTTTATTATATACTCATATAATATACTTACATATACTTATTAAAATAAGCATCCTTGTTTTCTTTCTACCTTTTTGGACTCTTTTCTATAGTATTAAATGTTACTATGTATGTAAAGATACCTTGAGGCAAAAGAGTATTTAGTATTCTGCTTTCCCTATTATGTTCAGTAATGCATATTTGCACATATTTATACAGCAAATAAAAAGGAGTCATCATCATAGTGGACTATTGGAGGCAGAATGCTCAGTAAGTGTTGAGTGCAGTATACTGCAGCATAAGATTGACACCAGGAAAGATCCGTACCTACTTTGCATTCCTTGTTATGTCTGCCTTGGGAGACCCTTCATTTTCATGATCATGGGAATGGTTATAGAAAATGTTTACTGAAGTGGTGGTAGAAAGAAACATAGGGCTGACTGCAGTTGGACTGATGGGAAAAGAAGTTTGTCTGGAGCTTGTGTTCTTTAACCATGAGGAGTTTATTGAAAAATTCTTTGAGGAGAGAGAGGAGGGAGAAGAGAAAGGTGAGAAGAGAGGAAGGTGGAAGGGAAGGAAAGGGAGAGTTAGGGAAGGGAAGGGCAGGGGCAGAGAATGGCTAATAAAAGAGGGAAGATGTTTGAGCATCCTGTCTAATGCTCAGGCAGAGCAGATGTGGTTAGTTCTAGAAGCTGAATGTAAATTGAACTATATACGGTGATGGAGGCTTTTTGCTGCCTGAGTCAGAGCAAGAAGCAGGGCACAGGCTTCTAGGTCTTGTTGCAGAAAGGTTGGTTCCGACAGCATATAATTTGCATCCTGGTTCCATGGGAAAAGAGGTTCATAGATGGGCACATGTTCTCGCACCCCTGAACCATGAATTGGAGTTTTCCAGCTGAAAGGAGCAGAGACAGACCTGCAGTTAGCAGAAAGCTTCCTCCTCCAACTTTAACCATTATCCTTGGTCCACGGCATGCCCAGGCAGGTAGGGCTGACTTCCATGTCTATATCTTTTCTACTCCGTCTGCCCTTTTCTATTCTGTCTGCCCTCTCCAGGAGCTTTCCCTCCTCACTTGCCCACTTCTCTCATTTATCTTCAATTTGGGTTTACAAAAATGGTCTTTCTCCCTCTCAAAATCTATTTTCTTTTGATTATGTTGCTGTCATACCACCATCCTTCCCCTCCTATTCATATTTTGGCCCTGGGCACTCTGAACCATGATTCTACTGTGCTGAAACTTCCCTTTCAATCTGAGCTCTGCTCATCACATTCTGCAGACTTGTCTCAGGACAATTCTTTGACTTTCCTTCATGCAGACAATGTTGTTGACTATACCCTTTTTATTTACTTTACCCTTTTTATTTTATTTACATTTTCTTCTGACTAGGTCTTCCCCACTATTCTCTGTCTGTTTCTCTGGATCCAATTGTCTCTATTCTCCCAAGTTAAATTTCCACATTTCCAATTAATTGATTTTTATTTCTATGCAGATATGGTAAAGACAACTAGAGTTTTCTTTGCCACAAATGTAACTGTACCATCCTTCCCAGAGCTTGTCTTCTGACAGTTCCCTTATATAGATAGACCACTTTCTCTCAAATCTTATTTTTTCTGACTCCCCCCTTGCCTTGTCCATCCAACTGGTTGTGAAACTCTACCAATTCTACTTTTGCAATGTATGCTGTTTCTGTCACTGTTAACATTCATCAAAAGATTAAGGTGCCATTACTGTTTGTAGGGAAGTATGCTAGACATTGGAAAGTATAAATAACAAGCAAAGAGCAGAGAGGAAGAGGGAGAGAAAGGGAGAGAGAGAGAGCACACTATGTTGTTTTTCTTTCTGTTCCCTTTCTGTCAACAGGAAAAAAAATTCTTCCTCTCTGAGGACTGAATGAGAAAATGTATCTCAGTACCTGTTAAACAGGAGTGGATTAAATAAAGGAGAACTATTTTAAGTATTAACCTTATCAGGTCAGCCCCTTACAATTCCTAAATTTAAACTCTTTAAAGTAACCTTGAAGATCTTGTATGACCTTGCTTCAGCCAACCAACCTTTCCAAATTTATATTCTCTATTTCCCTCCCTGTCATCCCCAAAGGCTTTTTGCTGTTTCTCCTGCTATTTATATACTATTTTCTCTGACTTTTGCTTCCATAATTCCCTCTGGTATATTCCTTTGTCAGCCATTGCTATATGACTGAATCAGTGGTTCTGTATTGATGCCTTGGGGAGTCCGCTCCAGATATTCTGATCTAACTGTGGTAGCCTGAGCAGTAAGATTTTTTTTTAAGAGACTGCTCAGCTGATTTTTCTAATATGCAGCCAAGACTAAGAACTACTGGCCTACATATTATATGTTCCTCCAAAGATTTTTCTTTTTCCTTTTTTTGTCTTTCCTGCCTACCTGCCTGCCTTCCTCCCTTCCTCCCTTCTTCTCTTCCTTTATCCCTCCCTCCCTGTCTTTCTTTTTTTTCTCTTTCCTTTCTTTCTTTCTCTCCCTCTTTCCTTTTTTTTTTGTAGTTACTGATGCTTCAACTCAGTCTTGGCCCTCTTTTGGGCTTTCGTGTGGAAACCTGTGACTACATCTGTAGAAATTTTTGTTAAGTTTATTCAGTCTTTCCTAAATGCTTATCATATGCTAGACAATTTTAGCTTTCAGAAACAAATAGCCATGAATCCAATGATGTAGTTCTGAGTTTATAGTCAGTATCTCATTAAATTAAGGGGAAATGCAAGTGTTTCAGTTATTTTTGTTGTTGGTTGTATGTGTGTGTGTGCTGGTATTAGGGCTTGAACTCTGTGCCTGGGTACTGTCTCTTAGCTGTTTTGCTCAAGGTTTATATCCTACCACTTGAGCCACAGCACAAACTTCCTTGCCTGGGCTAGCTTCAAACCTTGATCCTCAGATTTCAGCCTGACATTTCCACTTGGATTATAGGCATGAACCACTGGCACCCAGCTTACATGTTTCTTCTTACTAGCTTCCTTGCCTTCTTTTTAGAAATCTAAAGGCCTACTGGGAAGGCCCTCTACCTCTCCATCAGGATCTGGGATTGGGATTGTATTCTGTGTGTGTGTGTGGGGGGGGAATTGTATTCTGTGTGTGTGTGTGTGTGTGTGTGTGTGTGTGTAAGGCCCTCTACCTCTCCATCAAGATCTGGGATTGGGATTGTATTGTGTGTGTGTGTGTGTGTGTGTGTGTATACCTGGGTGTGTGTGTGTGTGTGTGTGTGTGTGTGTGTGTGGCGTGTATGCATGCCAGTCCTGGGGCTTGAACTCAGGGCCTGGGCACTGTTCCTGAACTTTTTTGCTCAAGGCTAGCACTCTGCCACTTGATCCACAGCTCCAGTGCTGGCTCTGTTTGGTGGTTAACTGGAGATAAGAGTCTCACAGACTTTCCTGCCGAGACTGGCTTTGAAATGTGGCCCTCAGATCTTAGCCTCTTGAGTAGCTCGGATTGCAGGCTTGAGCTATTGGTGCCTGGCTGGAATTCATAATCTTTGAAAGAATGAGGTTCTGAATCTCCAAGCTGCTTATTAGTACTTAGTTTGATATGTTCTATGGCAAAGATTTCCCCAGGAAGTTCTTATATACCTTCATAGATCTTCTTTAACATGCACTGCTGGGAATTCTGAGTGGTACAGACTCCCTCTCCACGAAGACATTTTCCTTGATCATTCATATATGCACATGTGTGGCAATTTAATGCTGAGCCTGAAATGGCAAGAGAGCCCTGATGAAATTCCATATGGACACCCCTGGGGAGGGGTGATGTTTAATAAGTAGTTAGTATACAACACATTTCTTAGTTCTTGTTGGGGTAGATACCCCAAGGCCCTCTGTCTGACAGAGAATACTTCTACACTTTATGAATTCACTGCTGATGAATGCCAAATTTATCTAATACTGACTTATCTTCCAGTTCTTATTTCTATTGGCTTCCTAGAATTTTTTTTGGGGGGAGGAGTGGGTCATGGGGCTTGTACTCTGGGCCTGGGTGCTGTCCCTCAGCTCTTTAGCTCAAGTCAAGTGCTCTACCACTTGAGCCACAGTGCCACTTCTGGCTTTTTCTGTTTAGGTGGTGCTGAGGCATCGAACCCAGGGCCTCATGTATGTGAGGCAAGCGCTCTACCATGAGCCACCTTCCCAGCCGGCTTCCTATACTTTTATAGATGTCCTTCTGCCATATCTTACTCCACAGAAGCAAAGTGATCTAAAATGGCTTCCCTTTCCTATTTCCTGTCATACTCTCACATACCCACCAGGCAAAAAACACTTGATGTCAAATCTGACTGATAAGTAAGCTATGTTTGAACACTTGCATGTTGAATTATTTTCTGTTTTCAACTTGACCTTATTGAATGTCACTGATGGCATTGATCATATTGCTGTTTTACTATCTATAGTGCTAATCCCTTATCAAGAAACTTAAGAGTAGTGGTGGGTGGTAGTGACAAAAAGAGTACATGCTTTAGACAGACCGCATTTGAAACCAAGGTTTTCCACTTTTGCCTCACTTCCCTCTCACATTTGAACATTTAGCATAATAGTGAAATAGGAAATATTTACATCTGATAATAGGTTGTGACATCAAACTTCGGGTTTTATTTTCCTTCCTTGGTCAGCCCCTTTTAAGGAAAAGTCACAGAATCACAGTAATCCTGGGAACTTTGGATATAGCAGGCAAAAAAATGTCTGCATACTTTGCATGCCTTATTTTTGTCTCCAAAATTAGAACTTCTATTAACCCACTACTTCTAGGGAAGCTGTGGGCATTTATATCCATAATTTCTTATGGACAGTGGAATTGAAAGGAGCTACTGGCATTCTATATTCATGTTACTAAAAGAGTGCCTTTAAATTATGTATGTAGTCTTTAGGGCCCCATAAAACATGGACCAAGCCTCTTGGTATTATTGTAAAGAAACCTGGAGGGTCTTTGTGAAAGTTATTTGTGACACCTTAATGATTCTTTGTAAAATTAAATTCTTTTCTAGAATTAGATTTTCCTGATGTGTCTCCCACTTCCCACGTGAAGTCAATGGTACCTCAGTGACTAGTACCTACCCACTGAAGTGCTTGCAAGTGGAGTACTTGAAGGCTGTTCACTCAAAAGCTGTTCAGTCGAAATCTTGTCATTCGAAGACTGTTCACTCGAAGACTGTTCACCTGAAGACTGTTCACCCATACCCTTTTCTCCTGCAAGCTGTTCAACTGAAGATTGTTCACCTGGAGATTGTTCTGAAGAATGTTCACCCGAAGATTGGTCACTTGAAGATTGGTCAACTGAAGTGTGTTCACCTGAAGACTGGTCACCCGAAGACTGGTCACTTGCAGACTTATCACCTGAAGACTGGTCACCTGAATTGTGTTCACTTGAAAAGTGCTCACTTGAAGCACGCTCAGTAAATGCGTGCTCCATTGTAGCGTGCTCGGTTGAACTGTGCTCCATTGTAGCATGCTCAGTTGAACCATGCTCGATTGTAGCATGCTCAGTGGAGCCATGCTCACTCAAAGCATTCTTGCCTGAAGTCTCATATAAAGCATCAATGTGTGAAGGGTTTCCAAGTGAGAAGTACTCACCTGACAGTTGCTGAATTGAAGCTTGGTGAGCCATAGAGCCAAGAGACTCATCAGGCTTGCCTGATGCTTCTGGGATGAAGAAAAGAGATTGTGAAGGTGAGAAAGAATGAGGTGAAGACTACTTTCACCCTATTCTCTCACCTGAAGTGAGTTAAATGGGGACTCCTGGGTTTCTTGGGGGTCAAGAGCAGTCATTTGAAAAATAGCACAAATGCTGGGTGAAGTCAGCTAACTATTCCAAGAGATCAGGAAAGATGTGAAAAATGGGAGATTAAGAACTGCACAAGGGGGCTGGGAAGGTGGCTCAGTGGTAGAGCGCTTGCCTTGCATGCATGAGGCCCTGGGTTTGATTCCTCAGCACCACATAAGCAGAAAAAAGCCAGAAGTGGTGCTGTGGCTTAAGTGGTAGGGCGCTAGCCTTGAGCTGAAGAAGCTGAGGGACAGCGCTTAGGCCCTGAGTTCAGCCCCACAACTGGCAAAAAACAAAAAAGAACTGCACAAGGAGATTCACTCACCTGTGCACCAAAAGCACCTGAGGGAAATGAATGTATCGCCCTGTCAAAGCCAGCATCAGGAATAGAGGACCCTCACTTATGCTATCACAAATCTGCCACCAACCTTTCTCCAGTTCCAGTATGGATGAAAGGCAAGGAATTGTGAACAGAGAGAAAGGAATATTTATAATAGCTGAGTAATCTCAGCTAAACTGAAGGTGGCTCTGTGTGTGTGTGTGTGTGTGTCTGTGTGTGTGTGTGTATAACTCAAGGCCTTACACAAAGAATGGACAATCGGAGGGCTATATTAATCTTCATACTAAAGGAGCCTATAAAAGTTACAAGGAGTCAGGCGCCAGTGGCTCACGCCTGTAATCCTAGCTACTCCGGAGGCTGAGATCTGAGGATCGAGGTTCAAAGCCAGCCCTGGCAGGAAAGTCCGTGAAACTTTTTTTTTTTTTGGGGGTCCGGTCGTGGGCCTGAGCTCTGGGCCTGGGCTGTCCCTCAGCTCTTAAGCTCAAGACTAGTGCTCTACCACTTGAGCCGCAGTGCCACTTCCGGCTTTTTTCTTTTTGCTTATGTGGTGCTGAGGAATAGAACCCAGGGCCTCAAGCATGCAAGGTAAGCGCTCTACCACTGAGCCACCTTCCCAGCCCGAGTCTGTGAAACTCTTATCTCCAATAAACCTCCAGAAAACGGGAAGTGGCGCTGTAAGGAAAGTGGTAGAGTGCTAGCCTTGAGCTGAAGAGCTGAGGGACAGCACTTAGGCCCAGAGTTTAAGGCCCACGACGAAAAAAAAAAGTTACAAGGGATGAAGTCCCTTTTATTTGGTAAAGTCATGTTCTTTTTTACACTGTAATCCACTTGGCTTGGGGACTCAGAGTTTCTATAAGTTATCAGGTTAAAAAATTCCTATCATGTCAGCTGGGTGCTGGTAACTCACATGTAATCCTAGCAACTCTGGAAGCTGACATCTGAGGATTGTGATTTAAAGCCAGCCTGGGCAGCAAAGTTTGAGAGACTTCAGTTAAGCACCACAAAAGCTGGGAGTGGAGCCGTGGCTGGCGCAAGTGCTGTGGAGCACTAGCTTTGGGGGAAGGGAGTGTGTGGGGGCAGTGAGAACTCAAGGCTAGCACCCAGGCTTTGAGTTTCTGGTCCAAAAAACTAAATAACACAAAAATTCCTGTTATGCATCTCTGAATTGAGGTTTCTTGTGACAGACTATTTATGCAACACTTCATAGAGTTACTAGGTTTTCAGTAAGATAAATTGTGAGGTCCCTTGCCATGGCCTAGGTACTCAAGTTTTCATTTCTTTGCTGTCTGTCTTACGTTAGAAATTACACAATCCTTAGATGATCATTCTTCTCTGGCCACTATTCTCCCTTTAATCCATCTCATTAATGACTATCATTTATTCTTTTATGTATGGCTTTTATTTTAGTTGAAAAGGAGCACTAAATATACCACTTGATTATTAGACTGAGCAGCCTAGAGGAAGGTAGTATACAACAACCAATGAGTTGTTAAACCTAGCCCCAAATTGCAAGACACTGTGGGATCTTTAGGCTGATGTGTAGTCATAAAAGATACTTTAGGGGGCTGGGAAGGCAGCTCAGTGGTAGAGTGCTTGCCTTGCATTCATGAGGCCCTGGGTTCGATTCCTCAGCACCACATAAGCAGAAAAAAACCGGAAGTGGCACTGTGGCTCAAGTGGTAGAGCGCTAGCCTTGAGTTGAAGAGCTGAGAGACAGCGCCCAGGCCCAGAGTTCAGGCCCTCGACCAGACCCCACCCCCCAAAAACAAAAAACAAAAAAAATCCCAAAACAGATACTTTAGCCAGGTGCCACAAATGTAATCCTAGCTACTTGGGAAGCTGATATCTGAGGATCATAGTTTGACGCCAGCCCCTGAAGGAAAGTCTATAAGACTCTTATCTCCACTACACTACTAAAAAGCCAGAAATGGAGCTGGGGCTCAAGTGGTAGAGTTCTAGCCTTGAGCAAAAGCAGATTAGGGATAGTGCCTAGGCCCTGAGTTCAACTGCCAGCACTGGTACATACACACAAAGATAAATTAGCTCTAAGAATCCTGCAAGAGATAAATACAACAATCTACAAAACTAGGGTTAGAATATATTGAGATAAAAAAATGGTAGGATCTGATAAAACTTTAGGAAGTCTGTTATATAAATATCTGTTTGCCTGGCTTCAGTTGTTAACAAAATTTTTAAATGAAATGTTTCTGATACAAAAAAGAGGTTTGAACAAAAGCATGCTAATTTCTTAGCCATTTTTGGAGTTTACAGTCTATTACTTCACTACACGACTGACACATTCTACCATCTAATGTCTGTGTATCTGTGTTTCCATGGCCACAATTTGAAAATTGAACAAAAGCAAAAAGCAAAACCACTGAAAGCCAACACTGCTGAGAACATTTGTCATTTCGCCAATAGGCCAGAGCTCATGGCTTCTCTCTTTTCTTGTAGGAGGCCAGAGGGAACACAGTTTTCCATGAATAGGGAGCCCCAAAAGGGAACATACTGAAAATTAGAAGAATGCCATAAAGGACAGGTTTACCAGGTCTCTGCATCATAACTGTACTATGTTCTGAGATGAATTTCTCGGCACATCATGCATCTGTTTCTTTTCTTGTCATGTTAATTACCCAAAGATCCCTTTTACTCAGTTTGTGAAGACAAACTACTGGACTAGCACTATACCCATAGTCCTGTCCTCCTACCTTACAGAACATCATATTCAAATATTAAGTGGTTGAAATCAGAAAAAATGTGCCAGGCCCTAAGTCCCTCTGACTGCCAAGCCATAACTTGGGAAAACCAACTTATTCAGGAGCTCTCCAAATTGGTCGTTTAGTTATTTTTTAATTTATTATTATAAAAGTGATTTACAGGGGGATTATAGTTACAGAAATCAGGTAGGGTGTGCATTTCTTTTTGGACACCCCTTCCTCTATTCTCTCCCAGTTTTTCCTTTCTGTTCCCATTCACAAATTGTATAGTTGGTTTTCAACAGTGTCTAGTGAGTACCACTGCTGCATTTGTTCACTCTTTATCCCTCTACTTCTGTGCCCCACCCTTACCCCCTCATAGACAGATAACCAAACAAGACAAAAAGAAAACAAAAACAGCAATCAAGAAAAAACAACAAAACCTTGTTTCCATTTCCTGGAGTTAATTTGAACAAATAGTATATATTTCATATGATCAGATACACATAGGCATTGTGCCTTTGTGTTCCTTTCTTAAGAATATCCTCCTTTGATATCATTATGTGTAAATGCCTAAAGTCCTGCATAATTTATCATGTTCAGTTATATTTTATTTATTTATTTATTTTTGTCGGTCGTGGGACTTGAACTCTGGACCTGGGTGCTGTCCCTCAGCTCTATCAGCTCAAAGCGAGCGCTCTACCACTTGAGCTACAGCGCCACTTCCGGTTTTCTGGTGGTTTATTGGAGGTAGGAATCTCACAGTCTCTCCTGCCCCGGCTGGCTTTGAACTGCGATCCTCAGATCTCAGCCTCCTGAGTAGCTAGGATTACAGGTGTGAGCCACCAGCACCCAGCTATTCAGTTATATTTTAGATCTAGGTTCTGCATTTGAGAAAACAGGTGCTGTTTGTGTCTCTGAGGTTACTCTTTTTTTGTTTTGGGTCCGGTCATGGGGCCTGAACTCTGGGCCTGGGCGCTGTCCCTCAGCTCTTCAGCTCAAGACTAGTGCTCTACCACTTGAGCCACAGAGCCACTTCCGGCTTTTTTCTTTTTTCTTATGTGATGCTGAGGAATCGAACCCAGGGCCTCAGGCATGCAAGGCAAGTGCTCTACCACTGAGCCACCTTCCCAGCCCTCTGAGGTTATTCTTGTGGTTATTCTTGAGGTTATTCTTGTGTCTCTGTTTGGTTATTCTTGATGAATCATCCTGGTTTGGTATGGTTACCACTAAGAGACTAGTCTTTTCTCCCTCAAGTGCAGAAACACCTTAAAGAAGACCCTCTTTGCTATCCAAGAGTCTAGATGTCTAGAAAAAAGACTCACCTCTGGCAGATCCAAGCAGATAAAGACTTATTAGTAAGATTAACTTGTTCATCTGGATTTAGGAAAAGAAGGATCTCTAGTATGGAGCTCCCAAGAGCTGGGAAGAAACAGCAGAAGCTCCCAATGTTGAATCAGAGCCTCTGGGAATTCTAGAACTTGAGAAACCCGACCCATATTTCCTCACAATGGGTTGTACTCTGAGGTCCTAATGAGGTCCTAATCTGCCTGTTCTGGCAGATTGGCCTTTAACAACCCATGGCAGATGCCACTATTGAAGGCTAAGAGTATTTTTCTGTGTGTAGGATAGTGTTTTTGGGACTATTTGCTCTATCTTAAGATACTTATTACCTCCAATCCTATGTTCTGTGTAGTAAAGTTGAAAGGGTATCACTTTATTTTAGAGTATTCAGGATAGTGAGGTGTGATAGACTGGTTATTTTCTGTTTGGCTCTCTAAACCAGACTTCTATGGCCACAGTCTATATCCCGGAAGGCTGATCTCTGTTGGCATCATCATCTGAATGGTTAGGTTTGGCTTCAGATTGAGTTTAGCCAATAAAAAATCAGGTATATGGTGTGTACGGGGGTAGGGGTGTGGGGGTGCTATTCTCTTCAAAATTTGTTTTTATTAAAAAATTTTAACTTGTAAGCAGTTGTACAAAGGGGTTTCAATTCAATGTGTCAGCTTATGAATATAATGGACCTTGATCAAGGTCACCTCTTCCATCATTCTTATTTCTATTTTGTTCTTGCCACACATTGGGTTTTTATACTACAGAGTTTTCTCTCATGACTCTTGACTTTCAACTGAACTATTATAACCAGTTTTCTTCCCCCCCTGCCCCCCCCGCCCATTTAGCTTAGGAATAATAATTGTCTCTGCTGTTGGTAAAATGTAGGTGTCCCAAATTCCCTTTTGAAATTTCCTCAACCCCTCCCACTAATATGAAGTCCTTTTCATGTAGAACTATGTCATGATAAAAATTCAGATGGTGAGCCGGGTGCCAGTGGCTCACGCCTGTAATCCTAGCTACTCAGGAGGCTGAGATCTGAGGATCATGGTTCAAAGCCAGCCCAGGCAGGAAAGTCTGTGAGACTCTTAT